TAGGTTTTCAATTCAGGTATTTCTATTGCTGCACTTAATACACTATGCTGCCATTTATTTATTTCAAAGTCCTTTCAATTCTGGGAGTTCCTGAAAGCAAAAAGACCATTTTATTTGTTCAGCTCTATGTTCCCACACTTGGTAGTCCCAAGCTAATGGACGTCCTGAGAGCTCACTCAGCCATGGCAAACACCCTCCACTGTGACCAGCCCAGTCAGAAACTTTCTTATAAGCCTGGGATTGAACATTCCCCGGGTGGTCTAGGATGTAAGTAAATAAAGTACATTGGCCAAGTGCAATAATTTTTGGAAAACAGCTCATCTGAATCTGGAGCCAAAAAAAAAAGGGAACATCATTCCACATGTAAGAAACTCCAGAACCTGAAAAAGAATCAGAAACCAAATCTCTAAAGTCAAAACCACTCAATTAATATACTGAATCAACTTTTTAAAAAATATATTTTTATTGATTTTAGAAAGGGAGAGAGAGAGAGAGATAGAAACATCAATAATGACTGAGAATCATTGATCAACTTCCTCCTGCATGCCATCAACCCAGGCATGTGCCTTTGATCGGAATCAAACTGGGGACCCTTTAGTCCACAGGCCGACGCTCTATCCACTAAGCCAAACCGGCTAGGGCTCAAAATCTTTTTGATTCAAGACTGATAACTCTTGACATTCTGCTACCCATTAGTCCTTCATTATTGTGATAGATTTTACATATCTCTTTTACATTTAACTTCTCCTCATGAGAGAAAAGTCAAATGTAAAAGAGATATGTAAATTCTATACAATAATAATAATAACTAAAACAACAACAACAAATCCAAACATGAAAGACTGGACAGGTAAATTACAGCTGTGGAAAATTAGCAGATAGTGCCCATGACCTATACACATAGGCAATGAAGGGCCTGCACTCCAGACTGCTGTTCTGGGATCTGAATCTAGCTTTGACCCTGACGACTGTATGATCTTGGTTCTTTAACCTCTGAGCACCTGAACCTCTACAAAACAAGGATAATAAGAAAACCTATGTTGCAGGGTTGCCATGAGGATTAACTGAGGCATATGAATCAAACACTAAGCACAGTGCCTGGCACACAGCAAGGGTCCAACAAACACAGGCCATTGTTCTTCCTGCTTACTTAGTGAAGGAGGCAAAGAACTGGGAGCACAGAAGGCACATTGCCACAAGCACCCATCACCTTTACTCCTGCTGCCTGGCACACAGCGGGCATTTCAGTGGATTTCCACAGGATGAATGAATGAATGGCCAAAGTGGTTCTTAGACTTTTATTCAAAGAGAGAAACTAGAATGGCAATCAAAAGTAAGGCTTAAATGTCGAGAGGACAAGCATAGTAAACTCAAAATTTAGCATTCTATTAATGAAACCAATGTATTCAAGACAGTCACTATATAAATTCATAATAATTATTCCTAATGCATTATAGAAATTCTTTTGTGCCTATAAATTATCAATGGTTAAATTATTCAAGGAGGTTTTAAAATTAAGTATATATTATTGTATTCAAATGCTTTAAAATTTGGAAATCCATGTAGAGTCTAAATGGCAATGATGAATTAACTGGAATATTTTGATTGATTGCAATACTTAGTTTATGCTTTATTACCCACATGTATTGTTCCCTGTCTACCTTTTTTATTTCTCACCAGATGGTGAACGCCTCGTATGCATAGTGCTTTTATATCTACTGTGCCTGGAATATATTCATAGTCAATAAATAATTGCGTAATTAACAGCCATTGTGTTCCATGATCATACCAGATTAAAGTTTTTGGTCCAGCAACATATACTTTTGGTGTACTTATATTTCCACAAAACAATAAAAAATTTGTATGTTTTTAAGACCTTATAAATACAAATTTCAACATTTAAAAATATGATATACTTTGGGAAAATCACTCTTTAAAACCCTAAAATTTAAGACTAAATGACTTTACAAAATCTACTCTAAACTGAAAGCTAAAGCAACTAAAAAGTTTAGATGATTTCTAACAAAATCAGATAAAAGCTGTTCATTTTTTTTTTTTTTTTTTTTTTTTTTTTTACAGAATAGTTTATTTTTGAGAGAAAGAGAGAGAGAGAGGAAGGTAGAAGAAGAGAGAAAGATCCATGTGACAGCATAACACTGATCAGCTGCCTCCTGTATGTCCCTACCGGGGATTGAGCCTGAAAGCCAGGCAAGTGCCCTGACCGGGAATCCAACTTGCAACCTTGTGGACAAAGCCAACCAACTGAGCCACAGTGGCAGGGTAAAGCTATGATTTTTTAAAATAATAAACTACTAAAGACTTGTATTGCTTGTCTGTCAGATGTTACATCATACTATTGTGTTATGGATGGTGGCAGCTGCTCAAAGGAAAGTAGGAGGAATAAATGGGAATATGTGAAGAAAAATCAGGTTCAAAAGTGATCTCTGATACGTTCTCTTACACATTAGGCTCGGGAACCTGCAATGGATACGATGTCAGAAAGAAAACACCATGAGAAAGAGAAGCAGCTAATCCTGGACTCTTACACAAATGAGAGGGAAGATGGCCAACGCACTGAGATGAAAGGGGTGTTGCAGCAGGTGAAGTCTGAACATAAGGCAGTTCCCCTGCAGCTCAGTGCCCACCCCTGCCACCTGCCCCTGGGCCCCTTAGGTCCTATGGGGGTGTCTAATAAAGTCCCCCCTGTCCACCTGGGTACTTGAAGCATGACAGGAATTAAAACTTTAGCCAAAGGATCTAGACTTTAAAAGGGGTTAGTCTTTATCTGGTGGGTAGGGATGTTTAGATGCCTGAATTCAAGCAGGGACGCCCAACTCCCTCTCCCTCACAACTCTATCGGGTCTGCACCACCTTCCTGGTTTGGAGGTGAGACTGGGGGTGTCAGGGCGGGGGCGGATTCTGGGAAAGTACACCTGGCACTGGCTTTGCCTCAGGGGCAGGATTCTTTCAGTACTTATGAAGGTATGTATGTTGGATAAGAAAAGGTTCTATAAAATGGACACTATCTCTCAGCACTATTTCTAAGGACTCAATGAATGAGATACTTTAGAGTATTTAACACACTATCAGGCACATAAGGACCTGAAAAATGTTTACTCTCATTTCACTGATGTGTATCAACAATGAACAAAATATGCTTCAAAGAAAATTTGTTCACAGACCATTAGGAACAACTGCAACTCTGCTGAAATCCACAAGGCCTGCTAATGATACAATAGAGCAAACCTTTTTTTTATCTTTCAAGATGTATCTCTTTAGAAGTTACTGTGGCAACATGTAATTTCAAATCTTGCCATTGCCCAGCAACCATAATCTTATTATATTTTGACAATTAAAACGTCCCGTGTACTGGCAGAGTTTAACAATCTTATCTATTAACTATGGTCTTCCTGCCCTCACGATATGACATCTGACCAGATGCATATCAGTCTTCCTCGCAATCTCACTGTGGTCAAACGAGTGTGTATCAGAGCTAGAGAGTCCTGACATAAAAGAATGTGGAAACCCAGCTCGGCAGGAGTTTCTCCCATGACCAACAGCCGTATTTTAGTATCGAATGAGAACAATTCCAAAAATTAATCAGGAATGAAAACGTAACAAGTGTTTAAGAAACTCAAAACTAAGTGTTTAAAGGACTCACGCAGATACTGTGATAAGGTAAAAGGTAACTAAAATAAGCTGGAAAAAAACCCAGGTTTGAAGAAATACCAAAGCATAACTTCAATGACATACAGCTCTGCTAGAAGACGCAGGTGTTTCAGGGCAATCTACACAAAAAAGACAGGGTTTGGGGAAGATATGTACTACAAACTAAGCATGACAGGCATCCAGAATTCTCAGCTGTACGCAGATTTATCACACCACCAGTGGTCCTGTGCACGAAATTCGTGTATGGGAGGGGTGTGTCCCTTAGCCCAGCCTGCACCCTCTCCAATCTGGGACCCTACAATTTGGGACCACTGGCACTTAACCACTCACCTGCCTGCCTGCTTGATTGGCCCTAACCACTCTGCCTAATGGCTTGCTCACCCCCAAATGCCGACCTCCACCAGCTTGCTCGCCCCTAACCACCTCTGCCTTGGCACCACCACCATGGCTTTGTCTGCAAGGTCTCCTGGTCTAATTAGCACATTACCCTTTTATTAGTATAGACTAATAGCCCTGTGTACAAATCTGTGCACCAGTAGCTCTCCACCTGCTGCCCTGCCCTCCTGTAATTCCCTCCGCCTCCTATTCCTCTCCTCCCCTCATAGCTTACTGCCCTGCTCCCTCCTGTAGCTCTCTGGCTACTTGTGGCCAGTAGCTCACTGCCCAACCCTTCTGCTGATCTGTGATCCAGTCATTACATAGTTATTTGTTACACATAATGGTGTAACAACCATTTAGATATTACATCTTTATTATATAGGATTATCTATCTGCTTCTTGACATTGAGCCTAAAATAATTAGGACTGGAAGGCAATGGTGAAACAAGATTTGGTTCCTGCACCAGAACAATGCAGGACAAGACAACTGGAGGCAGGGTAGGAAATGGGACCACTTTCCTTAATCAGAATTTTACTTTACAATGGGGATACAAGGATAAAAATTTTCCTAATACAGTGGTACTCAGCATCAGCATTCTGGTGTTCTGTTAAGAAAACTAATAATACAGAAAAATATTTATTCAATGGATAGTTATTTCCTTGATTTGCTTTAATTACAGAATCTCTTAACCCCAAACTCCTAACACCATCATGAATAATCTAGTTTAATACAAGTTAAGTCTATAAATAAGTTTGTTATTTCTCCTCAAAAACAAACAAAAGCCCTACTTAAGTAATTTTTCAAGAATTATTGTTTAAAAAATTTACCTAGAGAAATTAAAATATCAGTCATTTTGCCCCTATAACACATGGTGCTCAAGTTCAAGTATCAATGTTGTATGCTTAACACATCAGCCTTAGTTGTTCTGTTAGTATGCTGGCTTGGAGTCTTCTTAATCACTCTTTTCTTCTCCTTGGTAATGCCTATACTCTGGCTTCAGCTCCCATGTGTTTTTGTGAATCCCTTTCACATTCTGAATACCAATTTCTTTTAAGATTTCCTTCAGGTACACCTGAAAAAGAAAAAAACACAAACAAAAAACCTGGAGAGAACCATATTTGAATAATAAAAATTATTATCCAGAGAGTACAAATTTTCTTTATAAAGAGGTTCAATGCTACCTTTTGATTCTACATATACCATACATGATAACTGTATTCAACATATGACCATCTGTATTAAAGGGGTTGGAAGAGCTAAGTGTCAACAACCAGAGAGCTAAAAAAGTCTAGATAAAATTACACTAGAAAATTACTGGTGCCTGATGTTTATTAAGATGACACTGTGATCTGCCCCTGAGTTCAGCAGCCTCACTCAGTTCACAGTCAGAGAGGGTTATTCTTAAACCAGTCATTTCAGAAACATGTAAAAAGTGACAAATACTTTTGAACAATAATATTCTATGAGGCAAGCACATGATAGGTATCTAGAATTCTCAGTTCTACGGTGAGTTTTCAAACTTGCTATCAGGACACTTGTTTTTCCTGTGTAATAAAGGAAGTTATTATTTGTATACTCTCATATCTTGGCCAAGCTTGTCAAGACAGAGTGAGGGAGGAGAAACCAAGATGGTGGCATAGGGTAGACACCCGAATGCAGCCTACCACAACAAATTTGAATTTAGAACTGGAAAACAGGGGTAACATTGCCCTGAAGTGCCAGACGGCAGGCTGAGAGGAGGCTCTACCATCTGGGAAGGAGAGAGAAGGCGCGCTGAACCTCAGGAACTGTGAAGGTGCGGAGAATTGTGTGCGAGAAAAGGCGGCCTCAGAGTTCGCTGCCGGCTGGCTTGCAGAGTGCGGAGAGGGGGGGCCGAGTTTGCTACTGGCTCACTCCCTGTGCGTGGAGAAGGCGGACAGCTAATGCGTGGCTAGCTTTCTTGTTCGGGAGGAAAACAGAACCACCTATTATTGCGCTGATAGACGGCCCCAGACAGGGAGAGGCCAGACTGTCAGGCAGCGGGCAGAGATCTCTCGGAGGCAGGCGTGTGAAGCCAGCGGCCATTACTGCGGGACTCAGAAACCAGACCCTCGTAGGGAGGGGCTGACTAAAGCTTGTCGGCACCACCCGAGTAAAAATTCAGTTGCTTTCCTGTGTAGTCCACCTTCATTTCACTAGCTAGCATATTAAAAGGTTATGAAGTATTTTGTTTTATGAAAAATGTCTCCCCCCCCCCCCTTTTATAATAAGAATGGTATAAGATACTCAGTTTGTCAATTTGTTAGGTAACAAGATGGGATTATGGTCACATTCCCAAGGTACAGAATTCTTTTGGGAGGGGGGCATGGGGAGCAAACCTCTGGGGTTTTAGAATGTTCCCAAATGCAACCTAAGACCATTTAACTCTAACCAAATGAATTAACTTGGCATAAAACAGTAACAGAGAAAATAGTAGTTTTTGAAAAACAGGGTCAGAAAGGTGCAAGTAGAGAACAGTGAGATCATATAATTCCTCTGCTTAAAAATGTTCTCAACGACTTCCCCTTTGGTCTACAGGTTAAATTCCAAACTTTTTTTTTTAATAGGAATCCATTCAACTCTGCCTTTTACCTTCGGCCTCATTTTCTAACACCCCCCCTTTATATATACTTGTCATTTCTGTGTCTGTAGGCTTCTTGTTTCTTCCATATGTCATTCCCTTTTCCTGTAATGCTTATCCTCTCCCCTGAAATCTAAGCTCATCCCCTGAAATCTAAGCTCATCCCTTAAGATCTGTCATTTTTTCAGAAAACTTTCCCTAACAGTCCCGGCTCTCAACAATATAGCCTTCATAATTATAAACCTTTATTTCCATATCTATTTCTCCCATCAAACCATGTTCATATTATAGTGACTGCCTGCACATTACAGAGGCCCAGTGCACTTGTGCTAAGAATAAACAAGCGAGCTAAGAGAACTGGAGGAGGGGTTGGTTGAGGGGACATCACTTAGAAGGTATAAGAATAAACGAAGCTAACTCTAGTTCATTTTTAGAATTCAGGCTCTGATTAACTTATAAAGCAATGGTCCAGTTTGAAAAACAAAACTTGATTGATTAAACTGTATCACCTGAAAATGAATGATATTTATTGCTAAAATATTATTGGGGACAACTGAGGGGGATATTTGAAGATTAATGCTCCTTTTAAATAATCCATATATTCACACAAATATTTATTTATTTATTTTTTAAACACCTACTATGTGCCAGGTAGAGTTGTATAGTCAGTTTTTATCCTCAGAGTTCACAGTTTAAGGTAAGGCTATGTTGGGTGGAGACTAAGGCATATAACTAGACAACCAAAATAATAATATGAGCACAGTAAGAAGGATGTATGGAGAGGATGTTATGGGAGCACTGAGAGGTGGCACCTACCTCAGCCTGAATCAAGACGTTAGGTTCGTTGAGGGTACACATTTGATCATTTAAATTGAATGGCAATTCTGTGCAGAAATCAACAGAAACTAGTTCTCCTCTCATTCTAAACACTGACTTTTCAATTTAACCTTCTGCCTGACTATTTGTATTTTAAACAAAGGATTCTAGAACTGAGTAGATAACCTTGATAAGACGTAGGGTCAGAGATTTCTTTTTTCTTTTTCTTTTTTTATATGTATTTTTACTGATTTCAGAGAGAAAGGGAGAGGGAGAGATAGAAACGTCAACGATGAGAGAAAATCACTGATTGGCTGCTTTCTGCCAGCTCCCCACTGGGATTGAGCCCACAACCCGGACATGTGCCCGAACCAGGAATCAAACTGTGACCTCCTGGTTCATAGGTCAACGATCAACTACCCAGCCACACCGGTGGAGCAGAGAGATTTCTCACTGCTGACTCTGTGCAGTGCTGCAGAACAATCTGAATAAACTGGCAAAGGCCTAGCAGTTCTTCACTAAAGGGATGTGTGGGAGAGTATTTACAGTAAGTCTGCATGCAGAGAAAAAAGGGATAGAATATTACCACTTCCTTGGAAAGAAAAGGCACAACACATACTGAACCAAAGTATAGGATGTGATTTGCATTTGTGGGTCAAGATAGAATTGGAGAGGCCAAAAAGCCAGAAATACACAGATCAAAGTCCTAATTTACCCCCCTTTCCTTTCCCAAGATCAAGACGAACCTATTTTAGTCTCTTTTACTCCTCCTTTCCCTTCATGCACCCCCAGCTATTTCTCCTATGTTTTCTACCTACTGCGTGGCCAACCAAATGAAGGATTTATTTGCATTTCATTTTATCAGGAATTTGTGTGTTACATAAATAATAATACATTAACTACATCTAAATTCCCTGAAGTTGATAAAAAAGATATAGCTTTGATAAAAAGCTGATCCCCAGTAATACTGCTTTAGGTAGTAAGCCAATACTATGACCCTACTAGTCACAAAATGTTCCCAAGTTGCCGAAACTGGTTAGGCTCAGTGGATAGAGCATCGGCCTGCGGACTGAAAGGTTCCAGGTTTGATTCCGGTCAAGGGCATGCACGTTGGTTGCGGGCACATCCCTGGTAGGGGGTGTGCAGGAGGCAACTGATAGATGTTTCTCTCTCATCGATGTTTCTAACTATCTCTCTCTCTTCTCTCTGTAAAAAAAAATCAATAAAATATATTAAAAATATATATATATAAAAAAAGTTCCCAAGTTGGACTGAATATGCAATATGCAAATCTACAACAAAGTCAGCACTGGTTAATGCAATCACCAAAAGGAGTCACCATATGCTTCTTAGTGACCCAAGGGCAAGAAGGGTATTATCAGTTCCGTGATGCTATCAGAGTATCACTTCATATTCGTATGATTTTGTGTGACTGTGACTCCTTTTTTTTTTTTTTTTTTAAAATATATTTTATTGATTTTTTACAGAGGGGAAGAGAGAGGGATAGAGTTAGAAACATCGATGAGAGAGAAACATCAATCAGCTGCCTACTGCACTCCCCCTACTGGGGATGTGCCTGCAACCCAGGTACATGCCCTTGTTCTGAATCGAACCCTGGACCTTTCAGTCCGCAGGCCAACGCTCTATCCACTGAGCCAAACCGGTTTCGGCTGACTGTGACTCCTTTAAGCAAGTCAACAGAACAGAGGACTTACTGATACTGGTGAAATTGTTAGTGGCTTCAAAGCACACATTGTTTCATAAAAAAAAAAAAACTACACTTTAAGCATAAGCTGCAAAGAAATACAACATAGGTTTTTCACCCCTTTGCATACAGAAAACTGGGAAGAGGAGAGGGAAAGTGCAGTGGGGACATCTCTGGACCATGAGCCACCTTGGCACTTGTCTCCTCTTTTCCTTCTTTTGGTTTCACTTCTGCTGTCTTACTAGCCCCTGCGCCCTCTCTTCCTCTCAGGCTCCTGTTGGCTGCATTCCTCTCTTTGTAATACTCTTAAGAAGCAGAAAGATGATGGTGATGAAATGGTCAAGACACAACCCTACCAATGCCTGCCCTATCATATGGCTTAATCCAAGTTGTGAGAAAATAATTTATTATTGCATTAATATTTGTGTGCTGGAAAATCATCTTACTTTCAGAAACACTTCATCTACCGGGAATTGGCAAAATATTCATGTTTGCATATTTCAGATAAAGTTCACTTCCTTTGGGCCAAAACATTTAATTGTAACTATTTGCTTAATGACATGCTTTCTAAATTGTGTTAGTTCATTTGCATGCTGAACATAATAGGCATTCTAAGACTGAGATATGATGGCTTCCAAATGAGAAAAAAAAATACATATATAGTTAATGTTATATAGTTAATAACATAGTTAATGTTGAAGTGGTTAAAAGAAAAATACAAAAAAAGAAAAAGAAAAAAAAAGAAAAATACAATCAGAGATCCCATGAAGATGAAAACAACTCCTTTTGGAATTTAAATATGATTTCTTGCATTTAGAACTATGACAACTATCTATTATTGCATTTGGTGTGAGGTATAGTTTTAAAGTACGAAATATGGATCCAAGATGGCTGCCCAGGTAAACACCTAGCTGCAGCCGCACACAACAATTTCAATAAAATACAACTAAAA